CAGCGGAGGGGCGCGTGGGCGTGCGGGCGCCACTCGATCGGCGCGCTCTGCACGTACCCCTTTTTTTCTTTAATGAGCAACTTACTAAACTTTGTAGAACTTATACAAAGTGTTTGTCATAATTGCAGTTCTGATCTGAGCTCATATTGTCTGAAATACTCTAAGAATTCAACATATTTGGTGACTGTTTTTCATATCGGGATTAAAATGGTAATTTTATTTATTACATTTTTTTAAATACATAGCATTTACCAAGGCATTAAAAAATATATAGAAGAAAAGATACCCAAAACTTCTTCTCAAAATAGCAACCCAGGTAAGACTTTGGATAGTGCTTTTACTCTTGATGGTCCTACCATAACTAAAATGTAACAGTGAGGAAGTTTTGATCACAAAAGGTCAGTTAAAAAAGGAAATGTGTAAATTACACGTCTGGTTTTTTCTTGAATTTTTTTCTTATTCGTCTAGATTTCAGAATTATTTAAAAGGTTGGTGGTTATTCATAATCTCAAACAGTATTGCCTGAGAAAGCTTATTTATTTAGTGTTATGACCCCTAAAATTCTATGATTTTTCATGTAAATAAGAAAAAAGTTATTTTGAAATTTTATGTTATATAAAAAATTTTTTTTCTGGACAAAGTCTCATTCTGTTTCCCTGGCTGGAGTGCAGTGGCAAGCTCATGGCTACCACAGCATCGATCTGCTCGGCTCAGACAATCCTTCCACCTCAGCCTTGCAAGTAGCTGGAACTATAGGTGCGTTCCACCATGCCAGCTCCTTTTTTGATTTGATTGTAGAGACAAGGTCTTGCCAAGTTGCCCAGGCTGGTCTTGAACCCTTGGGCTCGGGCATTCTCTTGCCTCTACCTCCTAAAATGCTGGGATTACAGGCGTGGGCCACCACACCTGTCCAGAAAAAACTCCTGTGAAGTTACCAGGATGTACTTTAATTCCTCCAGCCTCAAATTTTGACATCACATATGCAGTGTTGTCTACCAGTATGAGAGTCTCATTAGAGACCCAGTACCCAAGTATTTTGTGGATGCTAGTCACATAGGTATCCTCTTCTTCGCATGTACCAACATTCCAGACTCCTAGAAGGAAAGCAGCTGTTCAGAATAAAAAGCCTATTTGTACAAACAGTCTAGGCATAGTGAACCACACTTCTCAGTTAGGGGACTTTGGGAGCCCTCCCAAGTCCAAGTTGCCAACAGCCAGCCAAGGGCCAGCATTGCAAGCAGATCTTTTTAATATGGCTGTCTCAGGCCTGCTTTATGAAATCTTTTCAGTACAGCAGTTATAGCCTCAACTATATTTTTTGGTGTTTTCTTAAAATTTTATCTTAATAGCAAATAATATAATAGTATAACATAACATGGTACTGTTTCAGCTGCATTATTCATATTAAGTTGCAATGCTGTTATTTTAAATGTTTAGTGAGTATTTAACAGGCATTTGTACATAATTGCTATGGCAATAGTAGGTAATTATAATCTGTTTTTCTTACCTAACTACCCTTTCAGTTAAAACATTAGATGAAATAAGCAAAATGATTTATGACTTAAAATTGGAATAAAAATTGTTTTTCGATTGTGATCATATGGGTGGTCCAGTTTTGTTTTAAGTTATGTTCAAGACATAACAGGGTCAAGGGAAATCACTATTTTTGCTTTTATTTCTGAGGATGTTTTTAGCCAGAGTCAAAGGAGCAAAATGATGTAAACACAAAAATGATGTATATATGATAATATTGATGAAGAAAGAGGAAAGACTAAAACAACCCAAAACAACAGTGAAACTCAGAAGGAAAAATGTGGGATAGGAGATAGGGATGAAAAATCCACTATGGGGTTCAGTCTGGACATTGGCCTGGGCAAACAAATAGGGGGGCTTAGATTCCAAAAACAAATGCAAAAAAAGCAAAAATAAACAAGTGTGATTTAATTAAACTCAAAGTCTTCTGCACAACTAAAGTTTTCCTTTTTGATGACTATGTCAATATTGAAAGCTTGCTATGCATCATTTGGTCAGTCTGCTGTATATACCTCCTTGAAGTGAAATGGTGTTACTTGCAGATGTCAGCTAGAGATTCAATAGTGAGCGCCACGAAAAAGACTGAATTATTAGTGCTGTTTCACAATACCCTAACACCTGAGGAAAGTCTGGAAATAAGAAAGCAGGAAGGATGGAAAGAGAGAATGAAGGCGGAGGAAGGGAGGGAGTATTAAGTAGCAATGCTGTTAATACTCCCTGTATTAACAGGGAGTCAATGAAGGAACAAGAAACAGTATATATAATAGAGGGTGATAAAATACAAGAGTCCTTTAGAAAAAGGAAGAGCAGCATATGAGACAGTTGGGAAGGGAATGAGGGGAGCTTCCATTACAAAAACATGTCAGAGAAGTAGTACACAATTTTTCCACTCTTGTTATCTTACTGCTGGGAAGTCATTAAGAATGGAAGCACCTGACAAGGCAGGGCTATGTTTTCTCTACCATAGATATAAGCATATGTGGACAGGAATACGTGTGTCCAATTTAATGTCATGTCAGATGTTTTTACTTCATAGGATAGTATCATATAGATAAAGAAAAAAGAGAATTGGCAGGAAGAAGATGGTAGCGTTAGTTATGGACAAATCAAGGAAGTTGTAGCCTGACATAGAGTTGATTGCAGGCTTTATGATTTATACTGCATTTCTCATTTGAGGGATGACGTGGGGGTAGGAGGGAGGATGAACTTGTGCCTGGATTCCAAAAGGAGAACTTAAGGTAAAGGAATATGTAAAGACACTCAGCATAGACCAGAGTTTCTCAAACTTGAATCAATCAGATGAGGACTTTGTTAGAAATGCCATACTAATTCAGCATGCCTGGGATTCTGCATTTCTGTAAGTTCTCTGGTGATGCTGTTGCTGCTGGTCGTCAGACCACATATGCTCTGAGTAGTAAACACATTGTCTTTTCTTTAGAGTGATCTAGAAGAAGAGCCATTGGATCACAGTTCAGAACATAACAGGGTCAAGAGAATGCTTCATTTCTGTTTTTATTTCTGAGCGTGTTTCCTGGCAGAGGAAAAGGAGCAAAGGGATGAAAAATGGAAATTGTACATGCAGGACACCTCTGCTCAATAGTAGAAGAAAGCATTTCAGATCTAAGGACTAGAAAGTACATTGATAAAGGTGCAAGCTGCAATAGTCATTTTGGAAATCATTAGTAAGGGACTATTATGAAGTGGAAAACAGAATACAGTGTTCACTTTCAATTTCTCCACTGGATTTTTAAATTTTGTCTTGTTTCTGATGGTTTTGTTCATTTATGTTGGATGGATGGATTTGTGAGTGAATCATGTGAAATTTGTTTGCCTTGCAACCTGGTATATCTAGCATATCAACTGGTTGTTTGTTGAAGTTTAGGAGGGTTAGAAATATTTCCTAAAGCAGAAATATTTTAGTAAAGATTAAACTTCATTTAAAAACCTTGGGTTGGAAAATAAAAATGAATGTTATTGACTTCCTATTTTTATAGTTTTTAGCTTTTATTGAGCTATTCCAAGTAGTTCATTTTAACTAACAGGAAAGGCTTGAAGGAATTGAAAATAAACTCCTCCAGGTACTAAATACTGAAATTTAAATATCTGTTTTATCATTATGATCTTTTATTTAATTGTGTAGCATTATCCAAAGGAGATTAACTTTTGAATTAGGCTTTAGAATCAACAGATCCTGCCAAAGGCATGAATAGACACTTCTCAGAAGATATATGGGCAGCCAAAAGACACATGAAAAAGTGCTCAACCTCACTCATCATCAGAGAAATGCAAATCAAAACCACATTGAGATACCACTTAACCCCTGTAACAATGGCCATCATTAATAAAACAAACAACAACAGATACTGGCGAGGATGTGGAGAAAAAGGAACTCTTCTACACTGCTGGTGGGAATGCAGACTAGTACAACCTCTTTGGAAGACAGTGTGGTGGTATATGAAAGAACTAGAAATTGACTTTCTATGACCCAGCAATTCCCCTACTGGGAATATACCCGGAGAAACGCAAATTATTTTACAAAATAGATACCTGTATCCGTATGTTTGTTGCAGCTCCATTCACAATAGCAAAAACATGGAACCAAAAGTGTTGCCCATCGAAACTGGACTGGATAAAAAAAAGTGGTACATGTACACAATGGAATACTATGCAGCCATAAAGAAGGACAAGTGTATGGACTTCGC